TGCTTTGAGCTCTGCATACGGGGGCGCCGGGTCACAGACAAACCCCATTTCCAGAGTCTGGACGGGCGGATGGGGCAAGGGTCTCCCCTGGCTCCGCAGTCAGGCGCTGGGGAGACTAGAGCGAGACCGCGCCCAACCCCAGCCCCCAACCCCCGGGGCCGGGGTTTCCTCGAGAGATCCCGCCCGGCTCTTGCCTGGCTCTTGCCCACTTGTCTTGCGGCGCGATCCGTGGGTGAACTTCATATTCCCTGAATGCCCACACACCACTCATTCTGCTTCCCGCTGCTGCTTTTCCACACCCGGCCGCAGCGCTGTCACGCACGACCCTAGAGGCGCGGGGGAGACCGCAGCAAGGCAGCGCCCTCCCGACACCCCTGTCCCCACAACCGCTCTGCAGTAGCCCTCTGGGGACCAAGACAGCGGGGAAATCGGGACAGCGAGCCAGGGCTGCCCCAGGACCCAAGCTGGGAGACCGCCAAGTGCCAAAGCCTACACTGCCCACCCAGCTTGGGGACCGGCAACGCAACATTCACCTGCCAAGTTGCAAGTGTGTTTCTTCTGTCTGGTTCTCCAGAGCAAACAGAAAACAAATCAAACTGGGATTGGTGGAAGCCTTATTATTAGATCATACCACTGCCTTCCCGGCTGTCTAAACAATTCCATCCTTACGCAGACAATGAGAGAACCCGCGCTCCAAACAGCAGGGGATAAGGACCAGAGAGCTGTACCCAGGCATCCCGTTAAGCTCTGAAATGTCCCCCACTTTTATTCCCTCCTTGGGAGACATCGCTCCCTGTAGCAACTTCCCACCGCCCTGCTGCCAAGGGTATCCTCTCCAACCTGCCATTTAAATCACGGTGTGGCGGTGGTGTTCCGAACAGTTAGGGAGCTAGGGGCTGGAACAACTATCTTCAATGGAATAAAATCACTTGACAGCAAGATGTGATATGATTAGCCTTGCCAATGACTGCACTATGATCCGGATTAATGCTGGTTCCCTGGCCCCACGAGTAGGAGTTGATGTGACTTCTTTCCCACGGGTGCTGAAGTGTCTTAACCAGGAGGGATAGAAGGAAAATAACCAATATTGGCCAAATTTAGATGCCTCAGTCACATCCTGACACCATGTTCCCACATAGATTTTGAAAGGCATGGCCATTAAAAAAGCATCAGGTGTCAGTCTGTGTTTCTAACACTGAGATTGGGGTGAAGTCATTCACTGAACTCACATGAGCACATTTGAGGAGCAGTTTGGTCCAAAACTACTTCACAGACAAGACGATTAGAAGGCGCCATTAACAAGAACTAAGGATAGACGGCTTTTCTGCCCACCTGTGACTATGCAGGTGCTTCTCTTATTCTCCTTTTCCTAATAAGTGTGTCCTTTTAAATTGTAAAAATGACAAGATGAAAAAAAAAACAAATAGGAACTAGAGATGAAAATGGTAAAGGTAATACCCAGCTGAATATAAATTTGAAAGCCTTTCCACTGTGCAAATCAAACTTCAGAGAGAACATTTTCCACCTAATCCTCAAAGTTTAAAAAAATGATGGCAAAAAACCAAGTAGCAAGAAGGTGAGGAACAAAGCACTGTCCCCTTGTGGGGTGAGAACAGACATGGCACAGCTTATAGTTGAAGGGAAATTTTGCAGCTCTCATCAAACATTTTAAAAGTTTATACTTTAAGGAATTCCTCGTCTGAGATTTTTTTTTCCTACTGAAATCTGTGCATGTGCACACAAAAACCCATACAGAGATCTTATTCAGAACTTATTTGTAGCAACTAAATACCCAGCATCGGTACCTCCAAACTATGGAAATGGTATATGCCTCCCAGTGATTGTAAGGATGAGAAAGGCATGTAAAAGATAGTTAAACTACAAGGCCACATGGAATCTGTATGTAGCCACTGTGACAATGAAGATGAGACAGGTATATGTACTTACATAGGCAAAAATAAAGTAAGTCTCTGAATAAGAGACCCCAAAAAACAGTAATAGTATTTGAGTAAGAAATAAGAAGGAGGTGTGGAGGACTGATTTCTCACTCACATGATATACCGAGCGTTTTACAATATGCTTCACTTCTACACACTTTTTAATGCAATTTAATCCAGAAAA